GACTAGAAGGCAGGAGGGGACAGGAAAGCTGGTGATAGGGAACCCAAGGTTGAGAGAGGACAGTGTTGACATGTCATGGGGTTGTTAACCATTGTCCTAGGGCAGTATGTGTACTAACTGTTTAATGAGAAACTATTTGTTCTGCAAACCTTCATCTAAAGTACAAAAAAAAAAAGTATTATCTATGTGAGATCAAATTGACAACAGCAACTCAAAAGGTTTGATGGGAAGCCTATGGGACAGTGAGTTGAAGATAATGGTGACGGAATAATTTGGAAAAGGATAGTGAGAATAGCAGCACAACTGGAGGAATGTAATCAATGTCACTGAATTGTACATGTAGAAACTTTCAAAATGGTATAACTTTGTGTATATTTTCACCAAAAAACAAGGTCCTCAAGGTTGAGAAGGGAGAGTGTTGATATGTCGTGAGGTTGTTAACCAATGTCATAAAACAATATGTGTACTAACTGTTTAATGAGAAACTATTTGTTCTGTAAACCTTCATCTAAAGTACAATTAAAAAAAAGATCAGAGGTTCAGGGGAGCGGAAAGGGAAAAACAGATGGAGCACAGGGCATTTTTAGGGCAGTGAAACTATTCTGTATGATACTGTAATGGTGAACACATGACTTTATTCATTTGTCAAAATCCGTAGGTCTATACAACACAAAGTGTGAGCCCTAATGTAAACTATAAAAACCAAAATAAAACTCATTGCTGTTGATTCAATTCCGACTCATATTGACCCTATAGGACAGAGTAGAACTGCCCCATAGGATTTCCAAGGAGCAGGTGGTTGATTCGAACAGCCAACTTTTTGATTAGCAGCTGTAGGACTTGGCCACTGTACCACCAGGGCTCCAATGTAAGCTATAGACTTTAGTTAATAATAACGTGTCAATATTGGTTTATAAATTGCAACAAATATACCACAGGAATGCAAGATACTAAAAAGTGGGGAAATTGTGGGGAGAAGGACGGGGTACATGGGAACTCTCTATACTTTCTGCTCAATTTTTCTGTAAACCTAGAACTGTTCTAAAAAATAAATTCTTTTAATTAAAAAAATATATCATTGCTCATTGACAGTGCACCTGGTCACCCAAGAGCTCTGATGAGATATACAAGGAGATTAATGTTGTTTTCATGCCTGCTAACACAGCATCCATTCTGCAATGCGTGGATCAAGGAGTAATTTTGACTTTCAATTCTTACTATTTAAGAAGGCCATAGCTGTCATAGATAGTAGTTCCTCTGATAGATCTGGGCAAATTGAAAACCTTCTGGAAATGATTCACAATTTTAGATGCTATTAAGAACATTTGTAATTAATGGGAGGAGGTCAAAATATCAAGATTAACAAGAGTTTGGAAGAAGTTGATTCCAACCCTGATGCATGACTTTGAGTGGTTCAAGACTTCAGTGGAGGAAGTAACTTACGGATGTGGTGGAAATAGCAAGAGAACTGGAATTAGAAGTGAAACCTGAAGATGTGACTGAATTGCTGCAATCTCGTGATAGAACTTTAACAGATGAGGAGTTGCTTCTTATGGATGAGCAAAGAAAGTGGTTTCTTGAGGTGGAATCTACTCCTGTTGAAGATGCTGTGAACATTGTTGAAATGACTACAAAGGATTTAGAATATTACATAAAGTTAGTTGATATAGCAACGGCAGAGTTTGAGAGGATTGAATCCAATTTAGAAAGAAGTTCTACTGTGAGTAAAATGCTGTCAAACAGCATCGCATGCTACAGAGAAATCTTTCATGAAAGGAAGAGTCATTCAATGCAGCAGACTTCGTTGTTGTCTTTGAAGAAATTGCCGTAGCAACCCTAGCCTTCAGCAACCACCAACCACCCTGATCAGTCAGCAGTCATCAACATCGAGGCAAGACCCTTCACCAGCAGAGATTACGACTCTCTGAAGGCTCAGATGATAGTTAGCATTTTTTAGAAATAACATTTTTTAATTAATGTATTTAATGTATTTAAGTAATGCATTTTTTTAGACATAATGCTATTGCACACTTGGTAGACTACAGTACAGTGTAAACATAACTTCTATATGCACTGGGAAGTCACACAAAAAAAGTGTGACTCGCTTATCGTGATGTTTGCTTTATTGCAGTGGTCTGGAACCAAACCTACAATATCTCTGAGGTATGCCTGTATACAAGGAAATCAGCTGGACTCAAGTTAGAGGACAGTGAAGAAATAAAAATAATAAATCATTTAAGCCTGTTGAGTAATGTCCTCTAACAGTAAGGAAAGAGGCTCTGGTGGCGCAGTGGTAAAGTGCTCGGCTGCTAACCAAAAAGTTGGCAGTTGGAACCCACCAGCTTTTCCTGAGAAGAAAGAAGTGGCAGTCTGCTTCTGTAAAGATTTACAGCCTTGGAAACGCTAAGAGGCAGTTCTACCCTGTCCTATAGGGTCAATATGAGTCGGAATCGACTCAATGGCGATGGGTTTATCAGTAAGGATAGGGTAAATGGAAGTAAAACTTAGTAGTTCTACAACTCAGAGAACAATGAATGGGGCATAAAAAATATAGCTGTGGTCATCTGGTAACTACAGCTTTTGAGGGTTCTAAATTGGTAAATTAAACTTTCATTTAGAACATGGGTGTGTTTCCTAAGAAGCTGGATATATATTAAGACATATATTTCTGTAAAAGGTACTTATAAAAACTAATTAGCAAGGATATATTAAAAATAAGTACATTACTCAAGAAGTAATTCAAAAGTATTCAAAAGTGATTTTCTTTAGGATTTCCTCATATTATTATTTTTTTTTTTTTTTACTCCTCTTCAAAGGTGACCGAATTATAAAAGTCAATGGAGAAAGTGTTATTGGAAAGACCTATTCTCAAGTAATTGCTTTAATTCAGAACAGGTAAGATTCTTAAAACATGATTAATTTTGGACAGAGGTGGGTTTTATAAATCAATAGAGCAAGAAGATTTAATACAGTATTGGATCCCTGTAAGGAACTGGTGAGGAACCCTGGTGGTGCAGTGGCTAAGTGCTCGGCTGCTAACCAAAAGGTCAGCGGTTCAAACCTACCAGCCTCTCCGAAGGCGGAAGATGTGGCACTCTGCTTCCGTGAAGATTTACAGCCTTGGAAACTCTAGCGGCAGTTCTACTCTGTCCTTTATGGTTGCTGTGCATCAGAATTAACTCATCAGCAGTGGGTTTGGTTTTTGGGTTTAAGGAACTGGTGTGATATGCAGATGGGGTTAACGCATCTGAGAGTTGCCAAGATTCAGATTACTTGAGGATGGCTTAGTTGGTAGCTTTGCTTTGGCAGATTCATCAGATTTGAGATTAAAATCCTTTAGAGTCTGAGAGCCACGCATTTTAGATTTTATTTTAGATTTCCCCCTTTTTTTTGAACACTAGAATGTATAATTGGTTTATAATATATATATAAATTTACAAATAAGTGCATTTATAGTTTATTTTAAAACTTCTTACTAAGATATGTTATCTTTTTTCCTTTTTTTATTGTTGTAAAAATGTAACACAACATTTGCCAATTCAACATTTTTGAGGTGTACAATATAGTTATATCAGTTCCATTAATCATATGTGTAACCGTCACCTATAATCCTTGCCAAATTTTCCATCACCATAAACAAAAACTCACTGCTTCCTAAACAGGGACTCCGCTTGTCCCCTTCCTCCTTCCCTGGTAACCACTAATAAATTTGGTCCTTAAACATTTGCCTATTCTAGTTATTTCATGTAAGTGAAATCATACAACATTTATTCTTTCGTGATTATTTCATTCAGCATAATGTTTTCAGGACTCATCCATCTTGTAGCATGTATCAGGACTTCATTTTTCTAAGATATGTTATCTTTAAGTATCTTTTGAATACTCTTCTTGGCTCAAATTTATTTATTTGTTTTAACCAAGACAATAAGGAATTTCCTTTTAATCCAATTTTCTGCCCACATATTGGGGTTTTAAAGGTAAGTAAATATTTACAGAGTGACCATCTATGGGACCTTAAAGATAGTTTAGTCCTACTCTTTCTATCACACACCAAGAAATTTTAAAAGAAAATCACAAATAAATTAAAAGTAAAAGAGGTCTCATATTGAATTTTTGTCAAGACTCATCCTAAAATCTGGGGTCTGATTTCCAGATCATCACTCTACTATAAAAAGCTCTTCCAAGATTTAAATATACTAACTTTTGGATTATGTATTGCTTTATGTTAGTCACACCTACCTGTCTATAATTAAATTGAAGCTCTTTATTTTTTTGAAGATTTTTATCAAGCTTCTCTAACCATGTCTAAAGCCGTTCATGCTATAATCTGAACTATTTCCATTAATGCCCTAATTCATTGTCATTTTTTGACAATTAAATGACATAAAAAACCAAACCCACTGCCATCAAGTTGATGCCGACTCATAGCGACCTTATAGGAGAGAGTAGAACTGCCCCATAGGGTTTCCAAGGAGTGGCTAGTGGATTCAAACTACCAACCTTTTGATTAGCAGCCCAGCTCTTAACCACTGTGCCACCAGGGCTCCTTAAATGACGTAATCATGATTTATTGACATCATAGTATTCTCTTTATTGTCTTAATATTTTAATGAGATTCTTAGAGAAAACAAATTTTAAATTTTTCCCCTAATTCTGGATTCTAGGTGCTCCTGACAGTAGTACCTATTTGAACTCAAAGTATTGAGGAGACTTGGGGACTGCTGATGAAGTTAAAGCCTCTCTCAGGGTTAACTGGAGATGTACCCAAATTTTCTTTTCCTCAAAATAAATTAGTTCATCATAAATATACCCCTGTGTTTTGTCAGCCAATAATTTAAGGAATTTTCATATATTTGTTAGCCTCTCTTCTTTAAAAATATTACTTTTCAGGTAACCATAACTTAATCATAGTTTTCCTTGAAATCTACGTTAATTTTTTTGTTACTAGTGCAGTTCATCTTTCAAAGTAATAACTCTTCAGAATGGCAGTCTTAATTTTTCAACCATTAAACCAATTTGAAAAATAGAGAAATACTGTTTTTTGTTCTCTTATTTTCTTTTAAAAAACTGTGTTCCTTTTGTCTGCAGTTGGTAGCAAATGGATAATGCAGCACAAAGCCATTGAGATTCTGCAGTATATTAATGTAAAAATGTATCCTTGCAGAAGAATTTATCTAAGCATCAGTATGTATTATCTACCAACTCTAAATATTGAAATACAAGTACCTACATATTTGACTAGTTAAATTTATTTGAACCTGTGGTTCTCATTTATTGGTTTGCCTTTAAGCATTTATGAACCTAAAAATAAAGGTTCAAATCTGTCAAAAAGAGACACAGTAAATTCTAGATTTTGTTTTCTTTTTGTTGTTGTTATTTGTTTATTTGTTTGATTGTTTCTTAATGTCTTAATTGTATTGGGGGAAATCTGATACAGTTAGACTAGATATTGAAGCACTTGATGGAGATAGTACCAGTCGCCTTGCCATATTTAAATGTAATCTAATCCCAGATCACAGGATTCAGTGTAATTTACCCCTTTCAACTTTTTTAAACCTAGAAAAAATTTATCTGTCACTTTCAACAGGACATTAACAATGCAGTAATAAACAAGACTTTAAGTTGTTCCTATAAGGCTCTAAAAGTAAATCATAAAAAAGCAAATAATTGATATGCTATATAAATTTTTAAAATAAGGAGTCATTTCAGTGTTTGTGATAGTGAACTCTGATTTCTTTTTCCTCTGAGGTCAAGAGGGAATATTTCAAAATTAGGATTTTAATGTTATTTAAAATGTTGAATTTGAGGGTTCTTTGGTTATTTTTATGCTGATGAATTTTAAACTTGATAAACAGAATATGTGATAAAAAAATCTTTAATTTGTTTTGTGACTTAAAATAATAAATAATTATATACTGATATTGTTATGAGTTTTGTTCAGGACTATTTAATACAAGAAACATACTTTATATTTCTGAATTAGAAACATTATAAAGATTTGACTGATTATGAATAGCATGAAAATACGGCAAGGTGCCCTCTTTTGTACATAACTAGCTTATGTCCCTAAAAGTGACTTCTTTTTATCCTAATGATTTGGATCTGAAAAGTAAAGATTTAAGAAAACCAAAAATTAAACTCAATTTTAAAAAATGCTTCTGAGTTGACTGTTTTTCTTTTATGTCTTTCTTATATACTTCTACCTCTTCTAAAAAAGTGTGTGTATGTTCAATTTTAGTGATACAACATTGGAACTTAGTGTTATGCCAAAAGATGAAGACATTCTCCAAGTGGTAAGCTTTATTCAAATATAAGGTTGTTTTATAGTCATGAATGCTAATGAAAATTATTTTGAGATGAAGGTAGATTGAGTCAAGAAGAGGTTTTAGGAAAAACATCTGGTTCATTTAGCAAAGTAAGGAATTCTCTACATTTAAAAAAAAAAAGACCATTGTCATTTTTTTGCAATTAAGTGGCATGCAAATATTTTAATTGATTCCACTGTGAACTCTTATGGTTGTCACTTAGAATGAGATTCCTAAAGAGTTTGCTGCCGGAATGTTGCAATCTAGGTAGTACTTTAACCAAAAACCAAAAGTTAGAGTGCAAGTTTTTAAACCAGGTATTAGAATTTTTTTTTTTTTAATTTTAATTTTGGTGAAAATATACATAGCGGATAATACTCCAATTCAACAATTTCTATATTTACACTTCAATGACAATTGTTACATTCTCCTCACTGTGTCACCATTCTTGCTATCTCTCCCCATATTATTTCACCACCGTTGACTTAGACTCACTTCGCCATAACTACTCATCCGTACTTTAGAGTTACTTTGTCAATTTGGTCTTTAAAAGAGCACAGTGCTTTTAAATATTCTTTACTAATTCAGCTAAACTGTTGTTTAGTTTGAAGATGACTTCAGGGGATAGTTCCATTCAAGTTTCAAAAATTTTCTCAGGGTAAAAGATTAAGGAGTTCCTTTAGCCTCAACAGGTCCAGCAAGTCTGAATTCTATAAGAAATTTTAAATTCTGTTCCAAATTTCCCTCCTTTTGATCAGGATCCATCTATTGAATCCTTGGTCAAAACATTCAGTAATGGTAGCTGGGCACCATCCAGTTCTTCTGGTCTCCTGGCAAAAGAGACAGTAATTCATAGACATAGACCTGCAGGCCAGTGCCTTCTCTGATTCCTGGGTCTCCTGCTGCTGCTGCTCCAGGCGAATAGAGTTGTATCTTGGACGGCCGCTTGCAAGCTTTTAAGACCCCAGGTGCTACTCACCAAACTGGAGGGTAGAACAGAAACACTAATAACAGTGTTAGTCCAGTTGACTGGACAGTCCCATGAGGCCATGACCCTAAGCCTTCAGACCAAGAGAACTAATCCCATGAGGTATTTGGTTGTACCTAATCAGTATCAGCAACTGCCTCCTTTTGTTTTTAAATTACACTGTTGTTATAAAATTATATATACCACAACGTTTGCCATTTTGCCCTTTTTCAAGTGTACTGCTTAGTGATCTCAGTTACATTAGTCAAGCTGTGTAACCATTACCCTTAATCAATGCCATTTTCCCATTGCCATAAACATAAACTCACTACTTCCCAGAGAATGATTCTCTCTCTCCCTCTCCGCTCCTGCCCCTGGTAACCAGTAATAACCATTGGCCTCTACATATTCACCTATTCTTGTCACTTCATGTAAGTGAGGTCATACACAATTTGCCCTTTTGTGATTGACTTATTTCACTCAGCATAATGTCTTTGAGGTTTATCCATGTTGTAGGACTTCGTTTCTCTTTATGACTGAGTAGTATTCCATTGTATGTATGTACCACATTTTGTTTACCCATTCGTCTACCTTTCTGCTATTGTGAATAGTGCTGCTATGAACATGGGTGTTTATATGATCTTTTTTTAATGTGAGAATGGACATTTTGTGAAAGCCATCTCCTAATTTTCTAATAAATATTACATTTATAAACTAACCTACTCAGCAGTTTTATTAACAGTGTAATTCATTCCATTAGAGGTAATGTTTACAATGGATTGAGTTCACATCTAATGGAAAAAACTGTTAGACTCTTATCTTAGGAAATAAAAGTATATGGTTGAAAACTTTAGAATTTAGTCCAAAATGCTTTTCTGATTTTTAGAAAGAAAACAAATTAAATGGACTTTTTGACTCCTTTACTAAGCCTAAATATTGCTGAAAGTAAAAAGATGATTAAATAATATAAATTGCATCTAAAAAAATTTTTTTCAATTGACTTTGCAATTCAGTGGATATATAGAATGGGCAAACCCTTGCACATTGAAAGCTAACAGTTAGATCTAGAAAGTGGCAGTGGTCACGAAAGTGTTTTTTTGTTTTAAACCTTTTTAGTGAATAGCAGATTTTTTTAAAAAATTATAGCTAAATCCAAGTAAAACAGGAAATTTATGGAATTTTTTTTGTGGGAGTGGAAGTAGCAAAGTTACGTTTTTCATTTGTAAAGCATTAGTTTGAATTTAGTTCAACAAAGGAGGTAAATAATCTTCTGTAAATGTTTTTTACAAAAGTGTCGTAAAGCTGATCTAATGATTTAGCTTATTTACTGACATACAAAATATAATTAATTGAAATCCATGGTGATTAACCCTGTGTTTTCAAGGCATGTTGATTTTATTTGCTGTTGTTATGTGCCATCAAGTAAGTTCAGACTCATAGCAACCCTAGACAACAAGGTAGAACTGCTCCATAGGGCTTCCTAGACTGTAATCTTTACGGGAGCAGATCACTAGGTCTTTTCTCCTGCAGAGTCACTGATGGGTTCAAACTGCTGACCTTTCAGTTAGCAGCCGGAATGCTTTAACTCTTGCGACGCCAAGGCTCCTTATTATTTAGAGATAAAAGACTATTCTTAAGTACATGACTCTGTTGGGTGGGGCAGGGGAGTATCTCAACAAGGAAGGTGCAGCTATCCACAGTAATTTTCCTAAGCATATAGAGGTAGTTACAGAATTCTTACCCTCATAATTCAGCATAGTAGTAGAGTAGCAGACATAACCATTGAAGCCAATGGCTATGAAATTCACTAAACTAGAAATAAGAGATTCTCCTGTAGTGCTCTACTTATACAAAGTACTAGAAGGTGATATGTAGATGGTAGAGAAAGCTTTACCTTGAGTCTTCCTTGCAGTCTTAAGACTCGAAGACAGAATGGACTCCTGAAACTGAATTGTCTTCTGATCTTCAGTAGATTTTCCTTGCCAAGGTGAAGGTACTGGTTGAATGCCATTTAGAACAGTGCTTCTTAAAGGAGTCAAGTGTAGAATTGCTATTGTAGCCTGCTGTGGCTGATGAAGAGCAGCAAACCATTTATTTATTTATACTTTTTTTTATTGCTATGCTTTAAGTGAAAGTTTACAATTCAAGTTAGTCTCTCATACAACAATTTATACACACATTGCTATGTGACCCTAGTTGCTCTCTTTAGACTGTGACAGCACACTCCTCCTTTTCACCCTGGATTTCCTGTGTCCATTCGACTAGCTTCTGACCCTCTCTGCCTTCTCATCTCACCTCTGGACAGGAGCTGCCCATTTAGTCTCATGTATCTGCTTGAGCTAAGAAGCATGCTTTTCATGAGTATCATTTTATGTCCCATAGTCCAGTCTAATCTTTTTCTGAAGAGTTGGCCTTGGGAATGGTTTTAGTTTTGGGCTAACAGAGAGTCCAGGGTCCGTGTCTTCTGGGGCAAACCATTTATTAATGCAGCAGAAGGAATCCTTTTCTAATGATGTGATCAGTGAAAAACTTGGTTAATTAGTCTGTCTTGTTATATTTTATTTAAGACAAATAAAATTAATTTAAAATAAAAGTAAAATACAAAGTGTTGAAAACATGGAGAAGTTAGTTCCCTAGATTGACATGTGCATACAGACCTTCAAGGTTCATCAGTAAGAGGTTCTGGCATATTTTAACAGAAAATTCACTTTTAAAACATGTTTTTTGAATTATTTTAATCATAAGAAATTAAAAAGCACATGCCCTTAATGATAAAGAAAACTTTGCTTTACAACCTAGCCTTCATTCACATTTGAATGTACTATAATTCATTAGGAAATAAAAGAGTATTTCTAATTAATGCATATTATGCATTGTTCATAACTGGAATATCTGTAAGTGTCACTTTTAAAGCTATTTTAAAACACAAAGTGAACTTTTTTCAGGGATTTAAAAAACCATATGTAGAAATATTTCTCTTTAGCACAGATTCTAGAGCTAAAATGTTCTATAAGGGGCCTTCGGAAGTACTTATGTGGTTTAAAACTTATTGCTCAAAGTGTATATGATTTTAAAGATGTATTTATTCCTGCAAAGTTGAATGTTCATTTTTTAAAAACATAAGCATGAACGTTTTTACAGCCACTGTAAACATTGTTTACCCAAGGAAGAGCCCATCACAGTTTTTGTTAGCTTACCTGGGCACCATCTGGACTGAGAGGTCTGTGGATTTTTTGTTCTCTAGAGTGATATATGGGACTTCTGGCAAAATGGCACTCTAGGCGGAAGCACCATTCTGTCCTTCCACAGCAAAGATCCAAAAAACTAAGCCAAACAGAGAAAACAGCAATCCTGAAACCCTAAAACATCAAATGAAGAGATAAAGAACTCAGCCAAGCACCAACGGAGTGAGAAAACTGACTGAGAATGGAGAGCGAGGAGAGATTCATGCAGAGGTCCCCATCAGCTAACGCAGCACGGATCTGCCATCTTGGACTCCTATCAGAGACCAGCAAATAGGGGATATGAGAAAGCAGCTTCAGGGAGCTTCCAGTGGGAGACAGAACAACTGGTAATTTGTGATATACGCTTTCCCACCCCCGACCGTCTTCACTCCTACTCAGCCTCCTCTGCTTCCTGCAGCCATAGTCTCTTGTCCGGGAAGCACTGGCTGCTTGGATTCCACCCACCTGCACTGGCCGGCTCTGTGAGTGCCATTTGTTGGCTGCTGGTGTTGCTTTTTTTCCACTTCTTTTGATTTCTTTCTTACCTCTCACCACCTCCCCCTCCTTTCGCTCAAATACCTGGCTCCGTGTGCCATCTTTGCTTCTTCCTGAGGGGCTGCGGAGCTTTGTTTGAGTGTGGAACTGCTTCCCGGTCTGGGCCGCCACACTGGTGGGATGCCGAGGCTTTTGTTTGTTTTGAATTGTTTGTTTGTTTTCTTTTCCTTTTCTTGAGTTGGGAGCCTGATCTGGCTGGGCAGTGCTGCGCGGCTTGGAACCTACCCCTTTGGCTCGCGTAG